CCCCACACTTGTCCACATTTAAACTCCGCCCCTGCAGCAGGAGTTTGTATCAGAGACACGTGTCTGTATCCGGGCCGTCCTGTGTGACGTTAATGCCCACCGGAGGCACACACTTCACAAATGTACTCGTTTACTCTAAAACGGCCAAACCTGACAACTCTGTCATTCCAGGCAAAGTAGTCTCCGATAACACACTGTGATAAATGCCAGGCAATAGTAACATCTCCGTAGAAGCGAGCAGGTGGTGGACCCAGATTAACAATGTTTTAAAATCAAGTTTGTCATTTGCGGCTTTTATCTAAAGTTAAACCTTTTTATCCTTTAAACTTTGAACAAGTTATGCAGGCTTTATTTCATCACGCCTGGACGACTGTAACGCACTTTATTCCGGCATTTCGCAAAACGCACTTTACCGACTACAGTCAGTCTAAAACTCTGCAGCGCAACTTTTAACAGGAACAAAAAGGAGAGAAAGAGCACATCACCCCAATCCTCGCGTCTTTGCGCTGGCTTCCTGTTCATTTTAGAATTGATTTTAAGATTTTATTTTTGTTTTTAAAGCTTTGAATGGACTTGGCCCCACAGTAGGGCTGGGCGATATGGATCAAAAAATAATCTCGGATATATTTTGCTATATCTCGATATACGATATATATCTCGATATATGTTCAAGAAAAAATAACCCCCTAAAAACTGAAAACTGAAAAAACAAATCTGCCAAATTCCACAAGGTCTTTTTTTTTTTTTAATTGAACTGTCAGAGGTCAGCAGTTCATATAGGAACATTTAAGATTACAAAAAACCCTAAGTACATAAATAATAATTTAACTGTAAAATAAAAGAAATAATACATATTTCCTTCTTTTCATTCATAAATAAAACAACTCAACACAAGTTTATCTTTGCATTAACTCTGTTATCCAGACCAGAACCAGAACCATGAGCTCCTTTAGCAGAAGAAGCTCAGGATGTTCCTTATTTCAATAGATCCATGTTATTATCCAGCAGTGAGGAGCTCTGAGGTTTAATCCCACAATCCACTGCAGATCAAACCCAACGTTCCAAACACTATTGTACAAGTGACACTGCAGCAGATTATTAATTACATTATACATTACAATATATAAAAACATAACGACTCTAGAGCCACATCAGCCGTTTGCATAATAATGTGTTTAATGCAGTTTTCGCACGTGTGTTTACATTTTACAGAAACGAAACTTAAGCGTATGACTCATTTGCATAAACAGCACTTCTCATGCAGCTCAGCTCGTTTAGCTTCTTTCGGGCTAAAGGACGCGACTCGGTGGAATATGAGGAGTGCTGCTGATGTTTTGTCTGTAAAGGTGGAAAAGGTTCGTGGTGCTTTGAAGCTTTTCACTGGCACCAACTTTCGGTGTTCACGGCGATAGTGACGAGTGAAGGAGACACGAGCAACAAATCAGGGAGGCGGAGGCGCGGAGTCAAGAGAGAGAAGTAAACAAGTGAAGCGGTGAAATCAGAATTTTATATAAGCATATATCGATATATACGATATGTCAGAATTCATATCGAGTTTAAAAACTATCTCGATATATTTAAAATATCGATATATCGCCCACCCCTACTCCACAGTACGTCTCGGACCTCATCCAAATTTATACCCCTGCGCTCTGAGGTCCGAGGTCCAGCTCCAGCTCAGGGCCTAAGACGGAGACTTAAAACCAGAGGACAGGAGCTTCTCTGTGGTCGACCCTAACTCTGGAACGATCTGCCGCTTCACGTTCGAGCAGCTCCACAGTGAGAGTTTTAAATCTCGTCTGAAGACCCACTTTTATTCTCTGGCTTTTAACGCCGCGTGAGTCGTGTGTCCTCTGTGTCTTTTATTTATTTTTATGTGTTTTTATTGGTTTTACTGATTTAATTTATTTATTGGTTTATTATTCTCTTCTATGATATGTTTATTTTTATTTTACCGTTTTATATTTTTACTAGTTTTATTACTTTAAGACTAGATATTTTTTAGTAATTTACTTTATCATCTATGTTGTTATTTTTTATGTATTTGTGCAGCACTTTGGAACAGTTGTTTGTGAAATGTGCTATAGAAATAAAGTGGATTGGATTGGACTATTTTGTCCGTCAAAAAAAATCGTATTCATAACATCGAGCCTGGTCCCAGATTCACTCCTGTAACCTTGAACATCGTGAGCCTCATTTGAGCGGCACATACACACAGTGCACATACACACAGTGCACCTATAAAGACGACACACTGCCTGTTGAGTGTTTTGTGTCCATTTGTGACAAGACTTTAGGACTGGGCTTTGTAAACATTGTCTCATAAATACATGTTTGTGTGTTTGTGTGCAGGTGGGTGGGCTACAGTGAGCCGGGCTTCGAGGGGCAGCAGTACATTCTGGAGGAGGGGGAGTACCTGCGCTGTGAGGACTGGGGAGGAGCCGAGATCCTGTCTCTGCGACCCATCATGTCCGTAAGTACATGTACTCGAGTATGCACCCGCAATATGATGGAGACATGGCACAGAGCTGGTCTCCACACTCGTTCGTGATCTTTGGGTCTAATAGCAGATACAAGTCAGTGTCCACCAGTGTCTGAACAAACTGAAACGTCTAAAACTTTGTCAAGTTGATATAATGTATTGTCTTTTGCTTTAGTTTTAGCGTGTGTTTTGTCATACAAGGTTCTCATGGTCATGAAATCCTGGAAGAGTCATAGAAATTTGTAAATTCAATGGAAACACAACTACAGCCTTCTGTTAAAGGTTGTATGGAGGATTTTTTTTTTTTAAGTTTCAAATTGTCAGTGAAAGTTTAAAATACCATTACAGAGACACAGCAGCCTTGGACCTATGATGACCAAAAAAAAGAATGAAAATCCATCAACTTGGACGTGTTGAGGCCAGATAAACATCAGCCAATAAAAACGAGGCTCCCTCTTTATCTATTGGCTGTCAGGTTGTCCATCAAACCCAATCAAATTACGTGGTTTATGCAGCGGTTCTTAAGGCCCGTTCAGACCAAAGCGTCAAAGCGTCCACTTTCTATGTAAAGTCTATGTGGACGCGCGACTAGAGCGTCCTGCGTTTTTGCGGCGCGTTTTCGGCGTCAGCGCGGCGCGAATCTGGCGTCGACACGGCGCGTCTTGAGCGTTTTGGCGTCAGCGACCAAGACGCGCGTCCAAAGCGGCAGCGTCAAGAAGTTGAAAATGCTGAACTTTTTGCGTCAGACGCGCCACGTCAACCAATCAGGGACGAGTATCCAGTGACGCAGCGACGTTATTATCAGAGAAAGACCGAGAACCAGAACGAGAACACAAACACGAGCGGAGCTTAAAATTAACCACAATCACCGAGACGATCAGCGAGGAATACCCAGAACGGACCAGGGACTAAACCGGCACCGAACCGGACTAACAAGGATAGACCGGACTAGACCATGATTGATAGACGTATTCGACCAGGACTAGACCGGGACTGATCCAGTGTCATTAGGAGTATAAATAATATATACGCCCAGTCGTCGACCCGTCTCCTCCGCTGAGTTTTATGTCATTAAAAACACTCAAGTCTCTCAGTCTTGTTATTGTTTTCGGGAAAAGACCGGACGGGCTCTGTTTCCAGGAACGGTCGTGGATTCTCGTCCGCCATCGCAACAAACTTTGTGCGAATTGCGACGAAGCTACAGTTTGAAAAACCCTCTAAAAGGGCCGTTCACACCAAAGCGTCAAAAAACGCCTTGACGCGTTTGCATTTGAGTTTAGACGCCCCCGACGCGCATCTTTGACGCCGTGAACAAACGGGACAAAAATACTTGACGCGCGTCCGTTGCCCTGGAAACAAGAGCCCGGTCCCGGTCTTTTCCCGAAACAATGTCAGACCAGACTGATAGAGTGTTTTTATGACATAAAACATCAGCGGAGGAGATCGGGTCGACGACTGGGGCGTATATATATTTATACTCCTCTAATGACACTGAATCAGTCCCGGTCTAGTCCTGGTCTAATCACGGTCTAGTCCCGGTCTAGTCCTTGTTTAGTCCCGGTTCGGTCCTGGTTTAGTCCTGGTCCGTTCCTGGTGTATTCCTCGCGATCGTCTCGGTGATTGTGGTGTGGTGTATATATTTAAGCTCTGCTCGTGTTTGTGTCTCTCGTTCTGGTTCTCGGGTCTTGCTTCCTGATAATAACGTCGCTGCGTCACTGGATACTCGTCCCTGATTGGTTGACGTGGCGCGTCTGACGCGAAAAGTTCAGCATTTTCAACTTCTTGACGCTGCCGCTTTGGACGCGCGTCTTGGTCGCTGACGCCAAAACGCTCAAGACGCGCCGTGTCGACGCCAGATTCGCGCCGCGCTGACGCCGAAAACGCGCCGCAAAAACGCAGGACGCTCTAGTCGCGTGTCCACATAGACTTTACATAGAAAGTGGACGCTTTGACGCTTTGGTCTGAACGGGCCTTAAGAACCGCTGCATAAACCACGTAATTTGATTGGGTTTGATTGACAACCTGACAGCCAATAGATAAAGAGGGAGCCTCGTTTTCTATTGGCTGATGTTTATCTGGCCTCAACACGTCCACAGTTGATGGATTTTCTTTTTTTTGGTCATCATAGGTCCAAGGCTGCTGTGTCTCTGTAATGGTATTTTAAACTTTCACTGACAATTTGAAACTTAAAAAAAAAAATCCTCCATACAACCTTTAACAGAAGGCTGTAGTTGTGTTTCCATTGAATTTACAAATTTCTATGACTCTTCCAGGATTTCCATGACCATGAGAACCTTGTATGACAAAACACACTGCTAAAACTAAAGCAAAAGACAATACAATTATATCAACTTGACAAAAGTTTTAGACGTTTCAGTTTTGTTCAGACACTGGTGGACACTGACTTGTATCTGCTATTAGACCCAAAGATCACGAACGAGTGTGGAGACCAGCTCTGTGCCATGTCTCCATCATACTCTGTAATATTGCGGGTGCATACTCGAGTACATGTACTTACGGACATGATGGGTCGCAGAGACAGGATCTCGGCTCCTCCCCAGTCCTCACAGCGCAGGTACTCCCCCTCCTCCAGAATGTACTGCTGCCCCTCGAAGCCCGGCTCACTGTAGCCCACCCACCTGCACACAAACACACAAACACGTATTTATGAGACAATGTTTACAAAGCCCAGTCCTAAAGTCTTGTCACAAATGGACACAAAACACTCAACAGGCAGTATGTCGTCTTTATAGGTGCACTGTGTGTTTGTGCCGCTCAAATGAGGCTCACGATGTTCAAGGTTACAGGAGTGAATCTGGGACCAGGCTCGATGTTATGAATACGATTTTTTTTGACGGACAAAATAGTCCAATCCAATCCACTTTATTTCTATAGCACATTTCACAAACAAACTGTTTCCAAAGTGCTGCACAAATACATAAAAAATAACAACAATAAGATGATAAAGTAAATTACTAAAATAATACTAGTCTTAAAGTAATAAAACTAGTAAAATAATATAAAACCGGTAAAATAAAAATAAAACTATATCATAGAATAGAAATAAATAAACCAATAAATAAATTAAATCAGTAAAACCAATAAAAACACATAAAAATAAATAAAAGACACAGAGGACCACACGACTCACGCGGTGTTAAAAGCCAGAGAATAAAAGTGGGTCTTCAGACGAGATTTAAAACTCTCCACTGTGGAGCTGCTCGAACGTGAAGCGGCAGATCGTTCCAGAGTTTAGGGTCGACCACAGAGAAGCTCCTGTCCTCCTGGTTTTAAGTCTCGTCTTAGGCCCTGAGCTGGAGCTGGACCTCGGACCTCAGAGCGCAGGGGTATAAATTTGGATGAGGTCCGAGACGTACTGTGGAGTAGGGGTGGGCGATATATCGATATTTTAAATATATCGAGATAGTTTTTAAACTCGATATGAATTCTGACATATCGTATATATCGATATAATGCTTATATAAAATTCTGATTTCACCGCTTCACTTGTTTATCTTCTCTCTCTTGACTCCGCGCCTCCGCCTCCCTGATTTTGTTGCTCGTGTCTCCTTCACTCGTCACTGTCGCCGTGAACACCGAAAGTTGGTGCCAGTGAAAAGCTTCAAGCACCACGAACCTTTTCCACCATTTACAGACAAAACCATCAGCAGCACATCCTCATGTTCCACCGAGTCGCGTCCTTTAGCCCGAAAGAAGCTAAACGAGCTGAGCTGCATGCAAATGAGTCATACGCTTAAGTTTCGTTTCTGTAAAATGTAAACACACGTGCGCAAAACTGCATTAAACACATTATTATCGCAAAGCTGATGTGGCTCTAGAGTCGTTATGTTTTATATATTGTAATGTATAATGTAATTAATAATCTGCTGCAGTGTCACTTGTACAATAGTGTTTGGAAACGTTGGGTTTGATCTGCAGTGGATTGTGGGATTAAACCTCAGATCCTCACTGCTGGATAATAACATGGATCTATTGAAATAAGGAACATCCTGAGCTTCTTCTGCTAAAGGAGCTCATGGTTCTGGTTCTGGTCTGGAGAACAGAGTTAATGCAAAGATGAGCTTGTGTTGAGTTGTTTTATTTATGAATGAAAAGAAGGAAATATGTATTATTTCTTTTATTTTACAGTTAAATTATTATTTATGTACTTAGGGTTTTTTGTAATCTTAAATGTTCCTATATGAACTGCTGACCTCTGACAGTTCAATAAAAAAAAAAAAAAAAGACCTTGTGGAATTTGGCAGATTTGTTTTTTCAGTTTTCAGTTTTAGGGGGTTATTTTTTCTTGAACATATATCGAGATATATATCGTATATCGAGATATAGCAAAATATATTGAGATATATTTTTTGATCCATATCGCCCAGCCCTACTGTGGGGCCAAGTCCATTCAAAGCTTTAAAAACAAACAATAAAATCTTAAAATCAATTCTAAAATGAACAGGAAGCCAGTGCAAAGACGCGAGGATTGGGGTGATGTGCTCTTCTCTCCTTTTTGTTCCTGTTAAAAGTCGCGCTGCAGAGTTTTAGACTCACTGTAGTCGGTAAAGTACATTTTGCGAAATGCCGGAATAAAGTGCGTTACAGTCGTCCAGGCGCGATGAAATAAAAGCCTGCATAACTTGTTCAAAAAGTTTAAAGGATAAAAAAGGTTTAACTTTAGATAAAGCCGCAAATGACAAAAAACTTGATTTTAAAAACATTGTTAATCTGATCAAAAGATGACCGTGGGACGAACATGATTTAAAATAAATAAAATAAAATAATTAAAAATAGTGAAAAAAAAAACAGGATCATGTACAAACATTTAAAGGCCAAAATAACGAGGCTCATAGCAGCAGGTCCAGAGAAACGAACCACAAGATCCTAATGTAAGTCAACTGGAGCCGAGTGAGAGAAGGAACCGGAAGAGCCTCCTGCCGCACTTCCTATTTGGCTCAAAGCGGCCACAGCGTTATCTATGTCCACTTACATCTATGGTTTGCTCTGGTGAAGGGTCCACCACCTGCTCGCTTCTACGGAGATGTTACTACTTTGCCTGGAATGTTCCACAGTGTGTTATTAAACTCTCCATGGAGACAGAGTTGTCAGGTTTGGCCGTTTTAGAGTAAACGAGGTACATTTGTGAAGTGTGTGGCTCCGGTGGGCATTAACGTCACACAGGACGGCCCGGATACAGACACGTGTCTCTGATACAAACTCCTGGCTGCAGGGGCGGAGTTTAAACTGTGGACAAGTCTGGGGAAGTGTGGGGAAGTGCAACACACGTGGACTAAACCAGGACTGATCCAAGGGATGCACCAGGAGAACTAGACCAGGACTGAACTGGACTAAAACAGGACTAAAACAGGACTAAACCAGGACTAAACCAGGAATAAAACAGGACTAAAACAGGACTAAACCAGGACTAAAACAGGACTAAAACAGGACTAAACCAGGACTAAATAAACTAAAACAGGACTAAAACAGGACTAAACCAGGAGGACTAAAACAGGACTAAACAACAGGACTAAACAGGACTAAACCAGGACTAAAACCAGGACCAGGACTAAAACAGGACTAAACCAGGACTAAAAACCAGGACTAAACCAGGACTAAACAGGAAAACAGGACTACTAAACCAGGACTAAACTAAAACAGGACTAAAACAGGACTAAAACAGGACTAAACCAGGACTAAACCAGGACAAAACAGGACTAAAAAACTAAACAGGACTAAACCAGGACTAAACCAGGACTAAAACAGGACTAAAACAGGCCTAAACCAGGACTAAACCAGGACTAAAACAGGACTAAACCAGGACTAAAACAGGACTAAAACAGGACTAAAACAGGACTAAAACAGGACTAAACCAGGACTAAAACAGGACTAAACAGGACTAAACCAGGACTAAAAAACCAGGACTAAAACAGGACTAAACCAGGACTAAACCAGGACTAAACCAGGACTAAACCAGGACTAAAACAGGACTAAAACAGGACTAAAACAGGACTAAACCAGGACTAAAACAGGACTAAAACAGGACCAGGACTAAAACCAGGACTAAACCAGGACTAAAACAGGACTAAACCAGGACTAAAACAGGACTAAACCAGGACTAAACCAGGACTAAACCAGGACTAAACAGACTAAACCAGGACTAAAACCAGGACTAAAACAGGACTAAACCAGGACTAAAACAGGACTAAAACCAGGACTAAACAGGACTAAACAGGCCTAAACCAGGACTAACCAGGACTAAACCAGACTAAACCAGGACTAAACAGGACTAAACCAGGACTAAAACAGGACTAAACAGGACTAAACCAGACTAAACCAGACTAAACCAGGACTAAAACAGGACTAAAACAGGACTAAACCAGGACTAAAACAGGACTAAACCAGGACTAAACAGACTAAACCAGGACTAAAACCAGGACTAAACAGGACTAAACCAGGACTAAAACAGGACTAAAACAGGCCTAAACCAGGACTAAACCAGGACTAAAACAGGACTAAACCAGGACTAAACCAGGACTAAAACAGGACTAAAACAGGCCTAAACCAGGACTAAACCAGGACTAAAACAGGACTAAACCAGGACTAAACCAGGACTAAAACAGGACTAAAACAGGCCTAAACCAGGACTAAACCAGAACTGAACTAGGACTGAGTGTTGAGATGGGCCCAGAGGTGCGCCCCTGTAGACTGTCGGGTGACCGCAGGTGAAAGAACCGTTGCAGCGCACCATGCCACACAAGAATAACAGCAGCTGTCGCCCGATCGTGCTTTGTGGACACCCTCCTCCACAGGCTCGGGATTCTCTCTCTCTCAAATCCAAGATTAGTTCTGGTTTAGACCTGGTTTAGACCTAGTTTAGTCCTGGTGACCTACTGATGTTCAGTGATGTTAAAAGTCGCCTGCATGAAGTTGGAAATTATTTGCTGTTGCAAAAATCGTTTATGAATGCACTCTAAAAAAAAAAAAAAAATCTGATAATATATTTTTTTTATTTATTGTCTTTACTACTCTAAGAGGAGACTCACATTGACCCAATTTGAAAACCCTGTATTAGACCAATCACCATCCATCCATTTTCTTCCGCTTATCCGGGGCCGGGTCGCGGGGGCAGCAGTCTAAGCAGGGACTCCCAGACTTCCTTCACCCCAGACACGTCCTCCAGCTCCTTCGGGGGACGCCAAGGCGTTCCCAGGCCAGCCCAGAGACATAGTCCCTCCAGCGTGTCCTGGGTCTTCCCCGGGGCCTCCTCCTCCACCAATCACACTGTTCTTTATACCCCCAGACTAAGTGTTTAGTCCCATTTTAATACCACACTATGGAGCATTCCACACAAAGCACTGACATCTCCATGGCACTGAGACCTTCACCACAAACAATACAAAGTGCATCTTTAACAAGCAAGAAAAAAATATCTTTCCACTGTTCAGTTTTGACTCATTTCTTGGTCCAAATCTGGGACAAATGTGCGTTACCTCCTTTTAAGCTCAGAGAAGTGTAACGCCACATGTGAGAGAGTACGAGTGTGGAGCGAGGGCAGTGAGTTCAGAAGCGCTGTGTAAAATGTTTTATTGTCTGTGAGGAGACTCTGTGCCAGTGCTCGGCTCAGAGGAGCTACGCAACATCAGACGCCAATTTGGAGAAGAGGCGGCACGATCTCTTTATGCATGTTTCTGTTACGTATTTATTTGTTGAACCGAGAACAACAAAATATCAGAGTTGGAACATTCATTCTAAAATGTTACAATAAAAAGCTCAGGTTGTATTGAAGGTAGCTTTTCTGGTCGGGGTTTTGCCACCTGCTGGTCTCCATGGAGACTGTTATTGCCTCTCCACGACCATTAACTGCAAATACATACTATAAATCGACATAGTTAAGTGTGTTTCAAATAGGAAATGAGCCTATTTCAACTCCTGCAACTTGGCCTGGTGGCATTTAAAGTCCTACAGTGGAACATTTCATTGAATAGAACAGCAACGGCTTTCACGTTACACTTTCAATGGACAAAAATATGTGTATTTCAGGTTTAATAGCCACAAAATAGTGTTAAAATGCTGGGCTTACATGGTTAAAAATCTTAAAATTGGTAAGAAATGTAAACAGATTCATTTCAGGAGTGATCATCTACATCGCAATATTCATATCAGAAGTATTTTTATGACAATAGAGTAGAAATGTAATGATATCCATCCTCTAAATATATTTTCATGATTAAATTTTCCTTTGGTTCTGTCTTAATCCTAATAATTAAGATTTAAAAGCACTTAATAATAAAAAGCAGTTTTTTCTTCATGTGGTCTGCACTGAAACAGCAAAGGATCATGGTCTATGTAGTTCTCTGTTTTTTTTTTTTAGCTCATGTAGCACAACCTCTAGTATATATAACTGTATATATATATATATATATATATATATATATATATATACTCTACATATTTTTCGGACTAGAAGGCGCACTTAAAATCCTTTAATTTTCTCAAAAATCGACGGTGCGCCTTATAATCCGGCTTTATGTATTAATTCTGGTTGTGTTTACTGACCTCGAACCGATTTTATGTGGTACACAGCGCTCAAAAATTTGTCAAAATGTTTTAGTACAATTTTGATAAACTACGAAGAGTCCGACAGAAGGAGCGAGCTGTTTTTTCAGAGTTTATAAATTATGCAAATGAGTCATGTGGTTTTGAGTTTCGTTTCTGTAAAATGTAAACAAATGTGCTCAAAGCTGCATTAATCACATTGTTACTCAATGTATATTTGAGTTCTCATCGTAGGAAATAAAATAAAACAAACTTAAATGATCCACCCACATTCGCCAAGACAGGGAGGCGACGTCGGGCGAATTCTGCCACGATCTGCTGATGGATCGTGGACGCCTGGACTAAGGATCAGTCTCAAGTGTTGTCTGATTATTTTGCTTAATGCGCCTTATAATCCGGTGCACCTTATAGTCCAAAAAATATGGAATTTAAGTCTTATTTGACACCAGTCTCTTGATATTTTTCTTTGTTATAGTAATATAATATGATGTCTGAGCTACTGTGTCCAAGGAATTTCCCTTGTGGATCAATAAAATTTGTCTATGTCTAAGTCTAAACGATGAATTTCAGCAAAGAGACTCAATATATTGTAATGGCCCACAAAATTATTATGAGGCTTTTGGCGATGCGATATCACAATATTTCGGTTACGGTTACATCCCTAGAGCAGAGTGTATGTGCATGTGCATGTGCATGTGCATGTGCATGTGTACTCACAGTCCTCCCAGGATCTTGAGCGAGCCGACGCACTGCAGGGCGGCGTCTTGTCCCCCGTCCTCTTCTCCAAAGCAGAACACGTCCGTCTCGGTCTCCACGCTGGGCCCTTCGAACGCTGCTTTCTCGAACACCACCGCCTGCACACAAACGACACAAAATACAGCTCTGTAAATACACTTTTACAGAAACAAGGGTCATTCATACTTTCTGACTGTACAAGACGAAAATTGTAACGTTTTGCGATGGGATATACGCAGGTCTGTATTCGACTAAAGAAATTCTTGTTGGACTAAAGACGCATCCTGTTCATTAACTGTGACAAAAGCTCGTAAAACTATAGAGGGATAATGAGACTACGTCACTTGGCGCATGTCTCCTGCAGAAAGAGCCTCTGTCCTGTCTAGAATTTGTCTAAAAAATATAAAAATAACAGCTTCATACAAGAGGTCATAGGAAGACATAGGATTGTCTGTTACATAAGGGCGAGTAATACCCCTTTTTAATCATTTCTTTTTATAACTTTGTTTTTATTGGTTTTAAGTAACATTTCAAAACACAAAAAAAAACCAGTATAAATCAAAAACAAAAAAACAATAAACAAACAATGTAACAACAATTGGAGTTACAGGTTCTTATTTAAACATGTATTTGGTATTGACATTTGTATGCACTATATTGTTTTTTTGATGTCTTGATGAAAACATTCAATTTTTCCCATTGCTCATTGTATTTGTACCCTTTAAGTTGTACCCTTTTAGCTTCTTTAATCATTTCTAACGCGGTCTCAACAGTCAGTATGATGCCACTTATTCATTTAGCCAAAAAAACGGTATTGTTTTATTGGCAGATCAGGTCAGAGGGCGGCTGTGATTGGTTAAATCTCGGCTCAGGGTCCCTCCTCCTCCAGCGACGTCATCAGGAGCCAGAGCAGATCGATGTCACCGAGCTTTAACCTCATTAGTGCAGAACCATCCGTCAGGCTCGTGTCAGGTTAAGTCCCCGATATTGTGACGGGAAACAGCTCATGACCACACAGTCAAATCGATGTCACTCCGTCGAATACGTCACCTTTGCCTGATCGACTATTAACCCACTTTATCCAATTAAAGAGCGTAGGACTGATTTTCTTTTCATGTTTTTATAATTCTGACTTGGCTTGGTGAGATTGAACCTGTGGTCAGTATTTATCATAGATTCACATCAGTTAATTGCTCGTTTGTGGAGAAGAAAACGTAAAAAAAAAAAAAAACCCAAAAAACAGGAAGTTGCTGAGAGTTGTAAAACAGAATCCCACGCAACCCCACAACTGTACAACAACTCACTCTTATGTAATGGATAATACTCCCTACAACTGTACAACAACTCACTCTTATGTAACAGATAATACTCCCTACAACTGTACAATAACTCACTTTTATGTAATGGATAATACTCCCTACAACTGTACAACAACTCACTCTTATGTAATGGATAATACTCCCTACAACTGTACAACAACTCACTCTTATGTAACAGATAATACTCCCTACAACTGTACAACAACTCACTCTTATGTAACAGATAATACTCCCTACAACTGTACAACAACTCACTCTTATGTAACAGATAATACTCCCTACAAGTACACTCACCTACAACTCAACTCACTCTTATGTAACAGATAATACTCCTACAAACTGTACAACTCACACTTATGTAACAGATAATACTCCCTACATAACACTGTACAACCACTCACTTTTATGTAACAGATAATACTCCCTACAACTGTACAATAACAACTCACTTTATGTAACAGATAATACTCCCTACAACTGTACAATAACTCACTTTTTATGTAACAGATAATACTCCCTAAACTACACAACTACTCTTATGTAACAGATAATACTCCCTACAACTGTACAATAACTCACTTTTTTGTAACAGATAATACTCCCTACAACTGTACAATAACTCACTTTTATGTAACAGATAATACTCCCTACAACTGTACAACAACTCACTCTTATGTAACAGATAATACTCCCTACAACTGTACAATAACTCACTTTTATGTAACAGATAATACTCCTACAACTAACAACTCACTCTTATGTAACAGATAATACTCCCTACAACTGTACAACAACTCACTCTTATGTAATGGATAATACTCCCTACAACTGTAACAACTCACTCTTATGTAACAGATAATACTCCTACAACTGTACAACAACTCACCTTATGTACAGATAATACTCCCTACAACTGTACAACAACTCACACCTTATGTAACAGATAATACTCCCTACAACTGTACAACAACTACTCTTATGTAACAGATAATACTCCCTACAACTGTACAACAACTCACCTTTATGTAACAGATAATACTCCCTACAACTGTACAACTCACACTTATGTAACAGATAATACTCCCTACAACTGTACAACTCACTCTTATGTAACAGATAATACTCCCTACAACTGTACAACAACTCATCCTTAAGTAATAGATAATACTCCCTACAACTGTACACAACTCACTCTTATGTAACAGATAATACTCCCTACAACTGTAACAACTCACTCTTATGTAACAGATAATACTCCCTACAACTGTACAATAACTCACTTTTATGTAACAGATAATACTCCCTACAACTGTACAACAACTCACTCTTATGTAACAGATAATACTCCCTACAAACTGTACAACTCACTCTTATGTAACAGATAATACTCCCTACAACTGTACAACAACTCACACTTTTATGTAACAGATAATACTCCCTACAACTGTACAACTCACTCTTATGTAACAGATAATACTCCCTACAACTGTACAACTCACTCTTATGTAACAGATAATACTCCCTACAACTGTACAATAACTCACTCTTATGTAACAGATAATACTCCCTACAACTGCGTAACAACTCACTCTTATGTAACAGATAATACTCCCTACAACTGCATAACAACTCACTCTTATATAACAGATAATACTCCCTACAACTGTACAACTCACTCTTATATAACAGATAATACTCCCTACAACTGTACAACTCACACTTATGTAACAGATAATACTCCCTACAACTGTACAACAACTCACTTTATGTAAACAGATAATACTCCTACAACTGTACAACAACTCATCCTGTAACAGATAGATAATACTCCCTACAACTGTACAACTCACTCTTATGTAACAGATAATACTCCCTACAACTGTACAACAACTCATCCTTAAGTAACAGATAATACTCCCTACAACTGTACAACAACTCACCCTTAAGTAACAGATAATACTCCCTACAACTGTACAACAACTCATCCTTAAGTAATAGATAATACTCCCTACAACTGTACAACTCACTCTTATGTAACAGATAAATACTCCCTACAAACTGTACAACTCACTCTTATGTAACAGATAATACTCCCTACTCCCTACAACTGTACAACTCACTCTTATGTAACAGATAATACTCCCTACAACTGTACAACAACTCACTCTTATGTAACAGATAATACTCCCTACAACTGTACAACTCACTCCTTATGTAACAGATAATACTCCCTACAACTGTACAAACTCACCCTTATGTAACAGATAATACTCCCTAAAACTGTGCAACAACTCACTCTTATGTAACAGATAATACTCCCTACAACTGTACAACTCACTCTTATGTAACAGATAATACTCCCTCGATACAAAACACAGGTCCAGGCTCAATAACAATAGTAAGAAAATGTTTTTTAAGTTTCAGTTTAGTCTCCCCTCCTTTTGCTCTCCGTGCTAAGTCACTCCCTTTCAGAGCGCTGTCACAACAGTGTTGAGTTTCGTATCGTGTTTTTGTATGTTTGCGGGGAGTTGTCGTGTGGCAGCGCAAAGTAATAAAGTCAAAACATGTTAGAAACCGCAAAAAAACAAGTTTGGAAACGACCCCGTCTTTGATAAATGTTCTTCAATACCAGTGCGGACAAAGACAGTGTTGTGTAAAATAGTTTATGGTTTGTGTGAAGAGGGAAACTACGCAACAACAAGACGATGAATCCATGTGTCATTTGCTCATTTGTTTTTCAAAATAAAACCAAAAAAATAAAAGAAAATGAAAAAAAAAAAGTTCTCTTCATTAATTGTCTCCAAAAATAAAAATGGAAAAAAACGGATAATGATTTGTTTTTTTCAGTTTTCGATTTTGTGTTTTAAATTAAAAATGGAAAAAATGGATAGAAAAAACGGACTGAACCAGAACTAAACCAGGTCCGGGACCAGACCGGGACTGAGACCGGGACTGAGATCAGGATCAGACCGGGACTGAGGCCAGGACTAGACCAGGACCAGACCGTGATTGAGACCGGGATTGAGGCCAGGACTAGACCAGGACCGGACCAGGACTTGAGACTGGGACTGAGACCGGGACTGAGACCGGGACCAGACCGGGACTGAGACCGGGACTGAGACCAAGACCGGGACCAGGACCAGGCTGTGACTGAGACTGGGACCAGGCCATGACTGAGACCGAGACTGAGTCCGGGACCAGACCTGGACTGAGACAGGGACCAGACCGGGACTGAGACAAGGACCAGACCTGGACTGAGACAGGGACCAGACCGGGACTGAGACAAGGACCAGACCTGGACTGAGACAGGGACCAGACCGGGACTGAGACAAGGACCAGACCTGGACTGAGACAGGGACCAGACCGGGACTGAGACAAGGACCAGACCGGGACTGAGACAGGAACCAGACCAGGACTTAGACTGGGACTTAGACAGGGACCAAACCGGGACTGAGACCGGGACTTAGACTGGGACCAGACCGGGACTGAGACAGGAACCAGACCAGGACTTAGACTGGGACTTAGACAGGGACCAAACCGGGACTGAGACAGGAACCAGACCAGGACAGAGACCGTGACTGAGGCCGGGACTGAGACCAGGGCTGAGACCAGGACTGAGACCAGGACCAGACTGGGACCAGACCAGAACTGAGGCCAGGACCAGACCGGGACCAGACCATGATTGAGACCGGGACCAGACCGGAACTGAGACCGGGACTCAGACCCGGACTCAGATGGGACCGAGACAGGGCCAAGACCGGGACCTGAGATCGGGACCGAGATCGGGACCGGAGACTGGGACTGGGACTGGGACCAGACCAGAACTGAAAACGGTTTAGTCCTGGTTCCGTCCATTATCCATTTTTTCCATTCTTCATTTAAATACAAAATCTAAAACTGAAAAAAAACCGAATCATTATCTTTTTTTTTTTTTTTTTCAGTTTGGTTTTGGAGACAAATAATGAAGAAAATAGTCGTTTTTTTCGTTTTCTTATTTTTGGTTTTATTTTGAAAAACAAATCACACACGACACACAAGTTTGTAGTGAAATATTTTAGCATATTTTTATTATTTAGTTTTTTTTAATTGGAAAATCAACGCCTTCGATTGTGCCTCAAACGTTTTGCGGAGTCGTAGATCAAACCGGCGCCGTTCGAGTCTGATTCCCGTGAGACAAAATCTATAAGTGCAGCGCGTTTAAGTCACAAAGAGAATTTCTCACAGAGATTATGAGGGAAATTGTGTGTCAAGATAATTACTGTGAATGGCGCTGGCTTAAGTCTGTGAAAGGACGCGCGATGATTGGGTCCCTGATGGAATATTCCGGCAGCTCGTATTGTACTTTGTGCCGTTATAATGGGATTCAGCTGAAGTGCGGCACTCGCGAACGCGCAAGATCAAAAATGGACCGGTTTTAGACAAAAGAGGAGAGCAGCTTTAGAGTCTGAGCACTAAAAATCACCAGAATTAACGTTTTTACAGTTTCAACAAGCTGCTACAATCACAACTGAGCGCTATTTCTGATCTGTTTCCTCGTCACAAACGAACCTGGAGTTGAGTTTTGTTTCATTCACATGTTTAAAGCACAAACCCTGCACATACAATAGGCTCTTATTTATTCTCTCGACAGCTTTCTATTCAACCTCGTGATGTAAGTAAGTACAGTTTATTTATAGAGCGTTTTTCACAGACAAGTGCTTCACATACAAAAGAGAAAAACAGCAGAAGATACATTCATAATACAATAAAATCAGTCATAGCAGCTCTAAACCTGAAGGGGCAGAGACGCTTGTGCAAAGAGAAATGTTTTTACTTGCTTCTTAAAAGCATCGACACCATCTAGAGAGCGAAGATAAGAAGAAAGACGATTGAAAGAATCTGTTGCCTTTTTCACGACCGAGAGCAGGGGTGTCAAACATACGGCCTGGGGGCCAGATTCGGCCCTCCAAGACCTTTAATGTGGCACTCGGCTGATTTTCTACTAAAATATTTTAATTATATTTTCTATTAAAATCTTGTTAATTTTCTGTGGTGTTTATCACAGCAGCGTCTCCAGCGTCTCTGTACGTGGCCCCTCCCACCAGAGCAGCACAAATGAAGACTTGTCTCTGTCCAAACGCTCTTAAAGGACGATCGTTTTGACTGTTGACCGTGACACCCTCATCAGAAAAATGTCCAACATGAGAAAAGTGGAGCCGAGTGCAGGATTTTACAACAAAAATTACTATTTATTATCCCTATTTACATAAAGTTCATGTTAAAACTTTGTGTTGAAATAGTATTTTTTTTAAAGTTTCAGGTTATTCATAATATTATAATATTTTGTAAAAGAAAGAGTTCATCAATTAAATAAGATTTCTGTAATAGATTTGATCGATTGATTGACTGCATTTATATAGCACCTTTCAAGATCCCCAAAGCGCTTTAAGGTTCATTATTCAGTCACTTCACACTCAGTGGTGGTAAAACTGCTACTGTAGCCACAGCTGCCCTGGGGCAGACTGACGGAAGCGAGGCTGCCAATCTGCGCCATCAGCCCCTCTGACCACCACCATCACTCACTCTCACACCACTTTCATACTAGGCAATGTGGGTGAAGTGTCTTGCCTAAGGACACAACAACAGTTTTTGCCACTGGCGCCTCCTGTGGCTCCTGGATCTGCTCAGTGTCTCCATCCAAGTCCTGACCAGGCCCGGCCTGCTTTGCTTCTGAGATCTGACAGGATCAGGCTTTGACAAACTGGTGTGGCCACATTTGTGTTTCTCTGCACAAATATTTGAATTTATTGTTATTTTTGGGGTTTATATGACATGAGTTTTCTGATCCGGCCCCTTTGGGATCAAAGTAGGTTGGATATGGCCCCCGGACGAAAATGAGTTTGACACCCCTGATCTAAAGTGAATTTTCCATGACTTTCGGGCACCTTGATGTGTAGAATTGATTAGACTTTTAGTGCTAAATATGAAAAGTTAATCTTTACCTTAACCTAAACCTGATGGTTTGGAATTATAGTTTTTTAACATTTAAAATCCTGTCAGTGCTTTTATTGTCGTCTCTTTTAAACGAGCCGACGTTCAGAAATAATCATAATAGTCTAATGAGAATTTAACAGAATACTGTAGATGCATGAAAGAGACATTCCATGACTTTTCCAGGCCTGGGAAATGATTTTTTCAATTTCCTTGACTCTTCCAGGATTCCAATGACCGTGTGAACCCTGAATACTGTATAAGGCACAGTGTGATTGGTCTAACAGGTATTCAAACTCCGCCCCCACAGTAATCAGGGCAGTCCTGTGTGATGTCACATAGTACTTAAAATCGCCCTGGCCACCGGCGGCAGCACACACTCAGTTTTTGACTGTTTCTGTCCAGGAAGATGGACATGTACTTACTTAGTAGTAAAATTGCCAGTAAGAAAAGATCCCCCCGCTCACCTTGGACCCTTAAGTCTCTTAGTTTTGTCTCAGAGTGAGTGAACAGTGTCACACAAAGTTCTTTTAGATTTTTAGTCACAGCATCTGGCAACCCAAAGCGACGAGCGAGGAGGCGTTAATTCTGCTTTCTGAAAAGGTTTTAGTGTGAACAAAACGCCGCTCGGAGTAAAATTAATAACAGCTCTGAACATGTTTACTTCATAACGTGGGCACGGGTTGTACTTCCAGAGAATACGTCTGCCTCTTACCTTGACCTCATTGGGATTCTCCACTTTAAATCCTCCCTGAAAACACACAAAGAGCAGGATTCAGAACATGACGAGAGCAGACGGAGTGTTCAGAATACATAATAATAAAATAATAAAACATATATCGGTCCATTCCTTCACTGGGATCGTTGTTAAGCCTGTTCAACTTCGCCTGTATGTATGTTTGCCACCATTTGTGACCCAAATGTTATTTTATATCACACAACATTTGCATTTTAAGTGTAATAACATTCTAAAGTCTATGTGTACAAAAACCAAAGACGCATGTTTCAATTAACTGTGCTCTCGAAGTCAGATTTAAGGCGTATTTAACCAAATATTGTTGTTTTTTTTCTGCTGTTGATGTACTTTCTGTTGCAATCCTGAAATTAAAGGTCTTAAAAACGTGAAAGTGCATTTTAAACACGCTGATTTTTAAGTTATTCCTCGTTTACTTCACGTATTCAGAAGATCCGACTTGTTATTTTCACATCTTTCAGAGATCAGATTAGAGTTTTGGTCCAACGGTAATGGTAACAACAACTAGCATGCAAACGTACACTACCTGATTATAATTACAGTCAGAATTTTGAGAGACAAGAGACACTTATGAAATATATCTGTACTGAAGACGAACTCAAATACATGGAAAAAAAATCAGGTACAGGGACTTTAAGGTTCTCTTATTTTCGTTTTTTTTTCTTTCTGTACTTTTTTTTGTTTCTTCTACTCGAAAGGACAGTTAAGTAGTCACCATCTTGAGCGGTCGGAGGGATCCCACGAAGGGCGACGGGAAGCCCCAGGTCTCGGGGAAGGGGTAGACTCCGGTCTCCAGCACGGCGAGCATGCCCTGGAACCCCGGGTCGCTGAACACGAGCCACCTGCAGGACCACAAGAACCACACACTTCAGCACCGGAGACGGGGACGTGCAGCTCCTGACCTGGACTCGAGTCAGACTTGAGTCACTATTTTTTAGAACTTGAGACCTGACTTGATAAAATGGACTGAGACTTGGGACTCGACTTGGACTTTAGGGTCAGTGACTTGGGACTTGACTTCGAGATTACACAACAAAATATCTCTTATTTAGCACTTTTAAATCTGAATTCTTTCTGTTCTGGCTGTAATGATTCAAACTAAAACATTTATAAAGGAAAAAATAGCATTTCTACAAGCATTTCCTCTTATACCATGACTTTTATCTTCTTATACCATGACTTTTTAAGTACAATTTAGCTTAAAATCCATATAAATTACAAACATTTGGTTTAAAGACTTGAAATGACTCAAAGCAGACTCGACTTGGACTTGCTTGTCTTTGACTTGGGACTTGACTCGGACTTGAGGTCAAAGACTTGCAAGACAATGACTTAGTCCCACCTCTGTACAATACACATACCTGTGTAGTAGTAGTAGTAGTAGTAGTAGTAGTAGTAGTATATAAATTATAATAGTAACAGTAATAAGTAATAGGCAGTTCTAGCAGTACTATTTGCATTCAGAATATATTTTAAGTGAAACTCTACGTATTTATCTGCATATTTATTTTTTATTCCATCAGTCGTTTAGTTATTTTACTAAAGGAAAAAACAACACACCAGTTATTCCTGTATTTATATTTATTCCAAAATGGAAAATGCCAATATTCCAGTTCAATACTTGCTGCATTTTCTGTTTTGTTTGCCCCAAAAAAGTCTGCTGTCTGCTGAAACAGAGATGGGTTTTATCTTTTTATCTTTTATCACTTTTTATTTTACGTTGACAGACCCAGAAATGATAAAAAATATCAACTTAAATGCTAAAATGAGTCAGGGAAGTTATTTATTCAACCCTCTTCAGCTCCTTCAGCTTCCTGTGACTTATTCTCCGGTGCGACTTCTATATTAAAATGTTTTTGGTGAAGTGTGGAGAGGTTCTAGTCTTGTGTGTGAGGATCTGCTGCTCCTGTTCCTCCTGTACCACTGTCACTTGGCTCTACTGCGCATGTCTCCTGCAGAAAGAGCCTCTGTCCTGTCTGTATCATGTCAGTCGATCGCACCGTTACTTCTGCACCACTGAACGATTTAACATTTAAACAAACTTATAAAGACAAAGACTGAGAAGACTGAACACAAATGTCCCCGAAAACAAAATCAGATTCTGCAGATTTACAAACTGCAAGTCGTGAAATCTGCAGCTGAAAATGGAAATCGAGCAGCAGAAAGAAAGTTTGGAGTGAGAGAGAAACTTGTGACACCGGGAGGATGAACCATGAAACTTTCCTGAAGTCACTGGATGGATGGACAAAGTCTGGACTTCAGTGACACCGAAACCATCCTGTCGGGATTCAGAAAGACCCGAATAATTCAGTAAATATAACCAGGTCTAACCAAGGTCTAAACCAGGTCTGAACTGGAAGTTGTCCTAAACTAAATCTCGGTCTAACTGAGGTCTAAACCAGGTCGAACCATGATCAGAATCAGGACCTGGATTAAACAAAATCAAAGCCAGATTTAAATTAGGTCTAACCACGGTCACTCCCCCCAGTACCTTAAGGAACTCCTCACTCCCCAGACCCGTGACGCTCCCTCCGCTCTGCAGCCACCAACACTCTCCAACCCCCCAGAACCAAACTTTGCACCATGGGTGATCGGGCCTTCTCCTCTGCAGTCTATTTCTGTTTTTAAACAAAATCTTAAAACGTACCTTTTTTACTAAAGCCTTTTGTTACCTCTGCCAAGGAGGTTATGTTTTTGCCGTTTGTCTGTTTGTTTGTCTGTGTTGTTTGTCTGTTTGTCTGTTTGTTTCTGTTTGTTTGTTTGTCTGTGTTGTTTGTTTGTCTGTTTGTCTGTTTTCTGTTTTCTTTGTTTGTCTGTTTGTTTGTTTGTCTGTTTTTTGTTTGTTGTTTGTCTGTTTGTCTGTTTGTTTCTTTGTTTGTCTGTTTGTTTGTCTGTTTGTCTGTTTGTTTGTTTTGTTTGTTTGTTTGTTTGTCTGTTAGCAACATAACTCAAAAAGTTATGGACCGATTTTGATGAAATTTTCAGGATTTGTTGGAAATGTGAAAAGGAAGAACTGATTTCATTTTGGGGCTGATCCGGAAGAAATCCTGGATTCTGGATCACTTTGAAATTTTAGTTAACATTGTGGTAAATGGGGCCAAAAAATTTGTTTCTCAATATCTGGGTTAATTATTGACCAAACCCCATGAAATTTGACTCAGGGATGGACAAGTGGGATCCTCTTTCATATATTCCAAAGGCTGATCCGGATCTGATCCAGAAGACTGATTTTATCACAATTTATATAAAAAATGGGGGTAGTCCTTGGCGGAGGTCTGCGCTCTCTGACTGCTTTTCTAGTTTATTGTATTTTATTCTTGTTTTATCTTATTAATTCCTGCAATGGTTTTAGCTTGATCCACTGTTTGCTGATGCACTTTTTTTACTCATTGTTTTTACCTGTAGCACTTTGAGATTATTTTATGTAAAGTGCAATATAAATAAAATGTATTATTATTATTTATTATTATTATTCCATTTAACCCAACCGATCTGATGGCTGATGCTGAGTCTCTGTTTACCTCCGGAGGTCGAGGTCGAGTTGTTCAGAAGTGACACCGAGGATGAAGAATTGAATGGATTTAGTGATTTGGAGTGAGATGGAGAGTTTGTTAAACTTGTTCTGTTGTTTATGTTATAGTTTATCTGAAGAACTGTTCATATGTGACGTTAACAGTCTGTTGTTCTCTCTTCTATTGTTTTTACTACAACTTGACTTTCATTACGCATTTTTGGTTTATCCTCCAGAGCAACTTATAGTCCAAAAAATACTGTAGTAGCGAGGATACATCTAGAATGAGTCAGAGAAGTTATTTATTCAACACACTTCAGCTCAAATCTAACCACAGCACAGAAAAAGAACAAAAACTCTGCCGTTAGTCCAAAGAAAAAGTCCCCACGAAACATATTGAGCCCAAAAATAATCGCTCCATTTTTCATATATTGAAAGATAAACAGATACACTAATTATCGTGAAGGATCTACACAAAAAACAACAGAACAGAATGTGTTTAGGCGCGATTCTACTAACAACGCACCAGGAGTTATCCCGGCAGACATCGCATTTCCATTTCCTTGTGTTTATGTATGTATTTCATGTATTTTATTAGAGACAGGCTCCAACCCCAGCTGACCGAGGCCTCTCCGTCTCCCGGCCCGCAGCTCCAGTCCATCCATATTCAAACCTGCTTGTTACGGCTCCGCACTGACCTTTAGAGCCCGCTGCGGACCGCGCCGGAGCCCATTTATTTGTCTGGAGGATTTGGACTCAGCGAGGGCTTAAAAAAAAAAAAAAAAAAAAGACCTGCGGTGATGTAAAATTCACTGTGGTTCAAACGCGGTCGGAGTGCTGTTTTCTTTCTTTCGCACGTAACAGATGAGCGGGTTGAATCAGTTTTTCAGGTTTTCTGCGACTTCTCGTGCACTGATAAAGCGCGGATTCACTTATCTCCGCCTACTTCAGCTGTCCCCTCCTACTGCAGGAGGTTAGTGTAGTCACGATACTAAAAATGTCAAACTTTTGACGTGCATTACTGATTCAGATACTATGATTTTTTCAGGTATGGGCGAGTATTCAGACCAAATCGCTGAGCAGGTTAAATCCAGACTGTGGAGGCTCTGCAGACGCTTAAAGCACGCTCATCAATATATTCTACATGTACATTTTAGTGCAGGAGTACCCACACTTTTTCAGCATGCGAGCTACTTAAAAGATGACAAAGTCAAGCAAACTGTACTACACCCCTTCTTTGAGAGAACTTTACAGACACTTTACAGAAAACTGTGAAGAAAGTGAAGAAAGTGGGTAGGATTTTTAAACCTGTTTTTTCAAGTTACATTCTCTTCCTGGTTTTGCAGTGGGATTTACCTCTGCACATTTAACAAACCAAACCCACATGTGACAAACACAGATGCATTTGTGCACTTTTATTAGGCAAACTTCAGCCACATGTCGTGGTGGGTCTGTTCTGTGCTGCAGGCTCCTCCTGCCAACACTAGAACATACATTTAAATTAGTTTTTGCTTTGCATTTCATCTTGTCCTTCTAATCAGCACATTGAGGAAGGAGCCCGTGTGCACTGAACACGAGAGAGTGAAAAGGTGAGGAGCAGCGCTGACGTGCAGCAGATGAACAGGTGCGATGTTTTAAGAAGTTTAACCTGCCCTGATACACACACTGGTACACGAGCACACGAGTGTGTGGTGACGTGTCACAAAGTGTCTGTGGGCTCCAGACGAGCACACAGGCTGCAGTGAGAATGCACGTGCTCTCCCGCACTCCGGTACAAGTTTACTGATCGCATTCGTCGAGAGTCAGACCGAGACAAGACCGAGACAAGACCGAGACAAGACCGAGTCCAAATGCGGTCAGGTCCAAGACAAGACCAAGATCATAAAAAAACGACCAAGACCAGTCTCGAGTACTACGACACTACACTCTGCCCGCACGGCCTTGGCGATCGACCTGTGGATCGTGATCGACATATTGGAAAAACCCTGTCATTTCTTTAATGTATTTTGTACCTGCGCAGGAACAGCAGATGGAAAGGAGATTGTAGTTAAATCTGGCACAGAGCATCTATTTTCTCTGAGATTAATGTTTTCTGTGCACTGTCCTCCTTTTAAATAAATAAATAAAACTAAATAAAACAGACATGTCAAACTCAGGCCCTGGAGCCATAATTATATTTGGCCTGTGAGATCCTATCATATCTGTATAGAGACATTATTTATTTACACTTTTGTTATTATTTTATATTCTGCTTGTTCTGGATTCAGTGTTTAAGCAAAACTATGATTAAATATTTATTTTAGTAAGAAAAGGTTTAACATTACATATCTC